CCCCAAAACCCCAAAACCCCAAAACCCCATCAGTAAGTGTTTGTTTATTTTTGAAAAATTAGAAAAATATGAATTAAGATAGCAGCAGTGGAGGCTCGAATGGGCCAGTTCATTCAAGTGATCCCATTTCTAAATTAAGATCTTAGCAGCCTTAATAAAATACTTTCAAATTCGATAAGGTAGTAGTCTCATCCGATTTTGATTCAGGCAATCTGGCTCGATGCACTCAGTCTAGCAAGAACTATTTCAACATGTATATCTCAGAAGATTGCTTGCCTTATATCACGAATTGTGGGAACTACAGAACTTGGTTTTACTTCAGTGTAACTGGTGTCTAGGAGGGTGAATCCCTAACATTTTCTATCAGAAATATGAATAATCAGGGGAAACTTTACAAGTCCGGACTCAAACCAGTCTACAGAGTGCTCCCTGAAGCTTAAAAAAAGTGGAAAAGAATAGTTAACAATGTCAATTTTGACTATGCATCAGAGGGGTTTTACATAACTTTCTCACATTAGTTTACTTATGAACCTACTGATGTAGTCTATTTTGCATTTACCTACCCTTACAGTTATGAAGAAACTCTAAGGAAAAGTGAGAAGATTTACAATAGACTAAGGGATAGCCAGAATATTTATATGCACAGAGAGATTTTGGGGTAAAGTATTGAAAACAGGATTGTTGAATTATTGACTATCACAGGAAGAAATAAAATTACTAATAAGAAGGAAGAATTGATAGATGGCTTGTTTCCCTAAAATGAATCTAAAGAGGATAGGCCATACATATTCGATAAGCCTACAGTCTTTTTAACTTCAAGGGTGCATCCTGGAGAAACCCCAGCTTCATTCGTGCTTAATGGAATCCTAAACTTTCTGACTAATGAGTCAAGTGAGCAAGCAAAAATACTATTGGATAATTTTGTGTTCAAAGTAATACCCATTCTAAATCCTGATGGTGTATATCGTGGATATTATAGACTAGATACCAAGAATCAAAATCTTAATAGATACTACCTAGATCCATCTCCATAGGATTAACCAACAATATGGGCGACTAAATAAGCTATAATGTAGCAGCATAATCTTGGGAAATTATTTCTGTATGTTGATTTACATGCACACGCAAGCAAAAAGGGTTGTTTTATGTTCGGAAATCACCTTACTGGTGAAAAGTAACTTAAAAATATGCTACTTCCTAAACTTATCTCATATAACAGCTTAAACTTTGATTTCGTTGAATGCTCGTTCTCTGAGAAAATGATGAACTGTAGAGACAAAAAGGATGGGCTTAGCAGAGAAGGTAGCGGTAGAGTAGCTATTTATAAGGCAACTGGCATACCATTATGCTACACACTCGAATGTAATTATGCAAGTGGCAGAAGATTAAATCACATCTCAGCCAAGCTGAATAAAAATACGAATCAAGTTGAACCTGAAAGTCCAATCACAGATGTTCATGCTAAAATGTATCAGAATGGAGAGACTAAAGCTCCTCCTTATACTATAGAAATATTTGAAGATGTTGGTAGAGCATTTTGCATAGGACTTCTTGACTATATTGAAAAAAATCCAATTTCAAGAATTCCAACAAGCAATCTAAAGAGTTTAGACAATATAAAGAATGATCTAGTTGTTCATAACAAAATATTTATTCCCAGGAAACTCGAAGATAATACACAACAAAAATCCAGCACTAATACTTAAAAATCAGTAACTTAACGAAAGCCATAGCCATTAATTCCCAAAAAGTCAACTCCCTAAGTTAAAAAGCAAAATACTTTCAGCGCTACCTTAACCAAAATTGACTCAGAATAGATTGACAAACCATTAAATGAAGGGGAAAGTGAGAATATAATCTGTGAGTTATTGGAATTTGATTAAGGGTCTCATGAGTCAAAGTCAGCTGAGGATGATGAATATTTTTATTAATAGCCAACTGTTAAAACTGAAGAGAGTAAATAAGCTATCAAGATAACAAATAATAAACCTCCCTAAGTACCTAATAAATAATTAGTTAGAAATATATCTGAGAAAAAAGATAGAATAGATTAAGCTCTTCATGCTAGGAGAAGATAGCCTGTTTCTCTTAGAAGTTCAAATAAGTCAACTGTACCTTCACTATCCAACCATCAATCGGAAGAAGTGGTTAGTAATGAGAATGATTATCCATTAGGATATAAGGTTCGATAATAATTTCTATCTAATGAAAGAATTAAAGAGAAAGAACCAATTGATAAAACATCATAAGAGGAAGACAAGTAATAAAGAAAAGGACCACTGATGCAAGTAATCGATCAGTAAATTAGAAATAGCAAAAAAGGTCCTGCAGCATTTAAAACATAAAATAGAACTTAGTTACATTCTGCAGGTTCAAGACAGTAAATAAAATCTTTCTACGTTCACAAGGGATCTTAAATCTTAGGGAACAATAGTGCTAATGGGCATAATGATTCGGATATTCAAAATTAAAAGGTTGTAGCCCCTATCACTAATTTCAGAATGCCTACTCCAAATACTGGCTAACTTGACCTAACGTAATCATTCTTCTAGGCTATTACTCCATAAGATTAGATAATTTAAATAATTGGCATAAATAGAATTAACTCTAACTAAATGAGACTTCCTGATATTAAGGCTAGTTAGAGTAATAATTTGTTGAACATTTAAGTGAACGCATATGAATCCAAGAGCAAATCAAGCAGTGTTTACAATTCTTAGCGATAAATTGGAAATCGCATAAAGATTAATAACAGATCGAGTCAGATTTAAAATCAGCAATCATAACTTATTTAACAGTAAAAGTAACTATCTAGCGATTTTCAGAGTTCTTCAAAATTTAGAATTAATTCTGAGAACCCTCAAAACAGAAACAATCAATTCTCAAGAAAAGCATTGAAAACTCACAGTCAAAGCAATAACTAGATAAAATCACCTAAGTTTATAAGATAGCATCCTACATTAATATAGGACAGCTAATTAGTTGCTGCTGCAGCTGAGTGATATTGATAATCACTAATTGATTCTTCTTTGTCTTTTTATTATTAATTTATATAATGAATGTGAATTTTTGACAACTATTACGAATGGGGTTTTGGGGTTTTGGGGTTTTGGGG